AATACATTTATGTACTTTTACAATTTAAGAACATTTTATTTTTTATTCATTTTAAAGAAAACAGAAATAGTTTCAAAAACATATTTGTAATTTACTTATTATACTTACATAAATGGTGTGTTGTATCAATTTTAAATTTAAAAGAAAGAAAAATATTATTGCAAAAATGAAAATTAAAAATATACATTGTAAACTTGTGTGTAGCAAGAAAATTTATAAAAAAGTATAGATTTTAATAAAAGTAAAAGTAAAGTGTTTTTTAATGTCATCAGGAGGACCGAAAATTTGGTCCCTAATGAACTAGAACTGAACTAGTACTGAACTAGAATTGAACTACACTAGAACTGAACTAGAACTGAACTAGAACTGAACTAGAACTGAACTAGAACTGAACTAGAACTGAACTAGAACTGAACTAGAACTGAACTAGAACTGAACTAGAACTGAACTAGAACTGAACTAGAACTGAACTAGAACTGAACTAGAACTGAACTAGAACTGAACTAGAACTGAACTACACTAGAACTGAACTACACTAGAACTGAAGTACACTATAACTGAACTACACTAGAACTGAACTACACTAGAACTGAACTCACTAGAACTGAACTAGAACTGAACTAGAACTGAACTAGAACAGAACTAGAACTGAACTAGAACTGAAGTAGAACTGAACTAGAACTGAACTAGAACTGAACTAGAACTGAACTAGAACTGAACTAGAACTGAACTAGAACTGAACTAGAACTGAACTAGAACTGAACTAGAACTGAACTAGAACTGAACTAGAACTGAACTAGAACTGAACTAGAACTGAACTAGAACTGAACTAGAGCTGAACTAGAACTGAACTAGAACTGAACTAGAACTGAACTAGAACTTAACTAGAACTGAACTAGAACTGAACTAGAACTGAACTAGAACTGAACTAGAACTGAACTAGAACTGAACTAGAACTGAACTAGAACTGAACTAGAACTGAACTAGAACTGAACTAGAACTGAACTAGAACTAAACTAGAACTGAACTAGAACTGAACTAGAACTGAACTAGAACTGAACTAGAACTGAACTAGAACTGAACTAGAACTGAACTAGAACTGAACTAGAACTGAACTAGAACTGAACTAAAACTGAACTAGAACTGAACTAGAACTGAACTAGAACTGAACTAAAACTGAACTAGAACTGAACTAGACTGAACTAGAACTGAACGAGAACTGAACTAGAACTGAACTAGAACTGAACTAGAACTGAACTAGAACTGAACTAGAACTGAACTGATCTAGAACTGAACTAGAACTGAACTAGAACTGAACTAGAACTGAACTAGAACTGAACTAAAACTGAACTAGAACTGAACTAAACTGAACTAGAACTGACCTAGAACTGAACTAGAACTGAACTAGAACTGAATTAGAACTGAATTAGAACTGAACTAGAGCTGAACTAGAACTGAACTAGAACTGAACTAGAACTGAACTAGAACTGAACTAGAACTGAACTAGAACTGAACTAGATCTGAACTAGATCTGAACTAGAACTGAACTAGAACTGAACTAGAACTGAACTAGAACTGAACTAGAACTGAACCAGAACTGAACTAGAACAGAACTAGAACAGAACTAGAACAGAACTAGAACAGAACTAGAACAGAACTAGAACAGAACTAGAACAGAACTAGAACAGAACTAGAACAGAACTAGAACAGAACTAGAACAGAACTAGAACGGAACTAGAACAGAACTAGAACAGAACTAGAACAGAACTAGAACAGAACTAGAACAGAACTAGAACAGAACTAGAACAGAACTAGAACAGAACTAGAACAGAACTAGAACAGAACTAGAACAGAACTAGAACAGAACTAGAACAGAACTAGAACAGAACTAGAACAGAACCAGAACAGAACTAGAACAGAGCTAGAACAGAACAGAACTAGAAAGAACTAGAACTGAAATTAAAAGTTTTTAATGAGTACTAAGTGCATTTCCCAGCCATTTGAAAAAATTGTCTTTTTTTATAAAAACAAACAAAATATTGTTTTTTTCACTGTTAGATACATTTTTAAAATAAATTCCTTATTGCAATTAAATTTTCATATAATAGCCATGAAATATTTCACCACACACTCTGTTTGCAACAAACTTTTATACTAGAAAATAAATCTTATTTTGTGCACCCTGTTATATGTCTTGACATCTAAGCATTTCTCAAACACCCTGTTGGCAGAGACTTGCGTCGATTCGGCTTAATCCGACTTAGCCTAGCCGCCGAACAAAATGTCAAAGCCGCCGCCGACGAAGTGCAGTTGATGTCAATTCTGCCGACTGCGAAAAGAAATTCTGCTAGAATTTTCGCGCCAAACTGTTTTCTGCGTTTTTGCAAAAAAGTTTGTTGTTGTGTGTGTGCAAAAATCTAAAATGACAGAAATGATATTCTTTAAATAAAAAATTTTTTTACTAACAATTGAAATTAATAAGATTGTATGCTATACTACTATACCGAGGGTCATTGTGCAAAGAAACAGCAAGTGTTGTTGGGTTTAATTTAGTTAAATTGTTAATAACTATGATGAAAATGTTTTTCCAGGCGGGGTTTGTTTTCGTTTAATACCGAAAAGTTTTTAGATTTGGCATATTTGTGAGATCTAGAAGATTAAAAAATGTAAGTAATGGTGTTAATTAATTATTTATTTGTCTATAAAGAACGTCTTTCTTTTCAAGAAAGAGGAGGCATCATGATGGTCTCCTGGAAGAATGTCCACAAGAGAGTGGCAATTGTATACCTCCCTAGTCACCTAGGCGGGTGGTGGTCGGTCGGCTAGTGGTGACATGGTGTATTATCACCTAGAGGCAATGGACGGAAGCTGATTGCCGTATTCAGGGCGTATCCTTCGGATACATACTTATGTTATGTTTAATACTACTTGTTTAAATTTGATTCTTAAACGTTTGTAGTAACTTATGATTTTTGTTTACTTTTTGAAGTTTATGTTTTAAATTGAAATTATTCGATTGTTAATTTTTCATTGCTGTATATCTAAATTTAAATAAAGAAATACGTTATTTTTAAAAACACAATATTGGTGTCAGAAGTGGGATATAATGAGTATGTCCCAAGAGCAACTATCGAATGTTATGGAATTACTGGCAGGAGCAATTCGCTCTGCAGTTGCAGATGTGGCGCAGACTGCATCCATGGGTTTTTCGTCGCCTTCATCTTCTGCAGAATTGAATTCAAAACCACCACAATTTTCAATGGTCGAATATAAACAAGAAGATGGAGGATCAGTTTCTGATTATTTTACTAGGTTCGACTGGGCGTTGCAGTTGTCGAGAGTTGCAGAAACTGAGTATGCAAATTACGCACGTGCATATGGGCACACAACTGAATACAGCTTTAAAAATATTAACAAGTCCGAGATCGCCAGGAGAATTAAATTATGCTGAAATCAAAGACATTCTGATTCGTCATTTCGATGGAAAGAAAAATAAATATGCAGAAAGCGTGAAATTTAGACAAATGAAACAAGAACCGGGAGAATCAGTAGCAAAATTTAGTCTTCGATTGAAAAATGGAGCAGTTTTCTGCGAGTACGGCCAATTTTTAGACAGGATGCTAATTGAGCAGCTTTTAATGGGGCTAGAATCTGCAACTATTTGTGATGAACTGATTGCAAAACAACCACAGAGCTTTAGTGAAGCATACGAGATAGCTTATGCTAGAGAACTAACTCATCATGCAACAAAAGAAGTTAACTCCAGCAATGAGCCTTCGCAACCGGAACAACATTCAAGTTAGGTTTTGCTCCAGTTAAAACCAAAAATAAAAATAGTAAATCTGATGCTGTATTTCCAAATAAAGGTAAATGTTACGGGTGTAATGGGAATCACACGAGAAACAACTGTAAATTTAAGAGTGCGAAATGCTTCGCTTGTGGTAAGATCGGCATATTTCTAAGGTATGTAAAAGTAAAACTGGTCAAGTAACGATGGAACAGGACGAAGAAAACGATTCTGTTGAGCAATTGCGTTTTATAAATAAAATTAAATTTTCAAAACCGTATGAAAAGAAATGATATTTGTGAGTATCGATGGTAGGAAATTGGAAATGGAGCTTGATACTGGTGCTCCTTGTAGTATAATTAGCAAGAAACGCTTACGTGCTATCAAACCCTATTACACTTTACATAAATCTGACAGAAAATTTGCTAGCTATACAGGTCACTCAATAAATTGTATTGGCAGAGTTGTAGTAAATGTGACTTTGGGAAAAACTTCTCGTGTCTTGAATTTATATGTTGTAGAAGATGATTTAGACACTTTGTGCGGCCGTGAATGGATAAGTCATTTTGCACATGATATTAATTTTTCAGATCTATTCGCATCTACACCGCCAAATAATAACTCTCCAAACGATAGCTTTAGTTTAAATACTATTACTTCCGATGTATCGATATTAAATTCTATTGAAAAAAATCAACTACAACAAATTGTAGATAAATTTGATGATGTATTTGGAAGTTCAGCTGGAAAGCTTAAATGTCCTCCTATAAAGATTCATATGAAGCCGAATGCTAGACCCATATTCGCTAGACCAAGAGAAGTTCCTTTAGCTTTAAGAGAAGCATATGCCAAGGAAATTGATGCTAAAATTGCTGCCGGTTATTATAAAAAAGTCGAATTCTCAGAATGGGCTTCCACGACCCATGTAGTAACTAAAAAAAATGGAGCTATACGTATTACTGGAAACTATAAACCTACGGTCAACCCTCAAATGATTATCGATGAGCATCCTATTCCAAAACCAGAAGATTTATTCAACAGAATTAAGGGTGCTACAATTTGCTCATCTAGATGTTACCGACGCATATACGCATTTGCCAATAGATGAAGAGTTTGGACATGTTCTTACCTTAAATACTATTACTCATGGCCTTATACAACCCACTCGTGCAGTCTATGGGGCTGCAAATATCCAGCAATATGGCAGCGAAAAATGGAAGAAGTTTTAAAAGGATTACCTAATTGTCTTAATTTCTTCGATGATATACTATTATTTGCAAAAGATTTTAATGAATTACAACAAATTTTAGATTTGACTTTGGCCCGAATTAGACAGTGTGGTCTTAAATTAAACAAATCGAAGTGTGTTTTTGCAGCAACGTCAGTGGAATTTTTAGGGCATTTAATTGATGCCAAGGGTATACATAAGTCAAATAAGCATATTGAATCTGTATTGAACGCACCGAAACCAAACTCCTTAGAAGACTTGCAGCTATTTCTAGGTAAAGCCTCATACTATAGTGCCTTTATTCCGGATCTAGCAACCCGTGAGAGGCCATTACGAGATATTCTAAAATCAAAGGTATTTTCATGGAATTTAATCGCGGATGCTGCTTACAACGATATTAAGAAAATTTTAGTATCTCCACAAGTTTTAATATCATATGATCCAAAACTACCATTATTGTTGGCAACGGATGCTAGTAAAACTGGCTTGGGCGCGGTATTGTCTCACCGTTTACCTAATGGCGAAGAACGACCTATAGCATACGCAAGTAGAACAATGAGTGTGACAGAACAACGTTACTCTCAAATAGATAAAGAGGCTTTGGCCATAGTATGGGCCGTTCAAAAATTCTTTAAATATTTATATGCACGGCATTGGACATTAATAACCGATCACAAGCCACTTACTCAGATTTTGCACCCTAGTAAATCGCTTCCAGTTCTTTGTATTTCTCGTATGGCAAACTATGCCGATTTTTTAAGTAACTTTGACTTCGAGATAATATATAAACCATCCAAAGAGAATATTAATGCAGATTACATGTCACGTATTGTTCCAGATAATTCAGTAAAGTCACAATGCAACGAAAATTATGTAATTACTGAATACGACGAGTTTGATACTTTTATTTTCCGACAAATTAACCAGTTACCCGTTACAGCTGAAAAAATTGCCAATGAAACCCGTAAAGATTCAGTACTTGGAAAAATAGTTGCAATATTAGAGAAAGGACATTCGTTGGCAAAATATGGTTATACTGCACCAGAATCGAATTATAGACTCTCAGGTAATTGCTTAATATTCGAACACAGAGTTGTAATTCCACAAAAGTTTCGAAAAGACATTCTTCAAAATCTACACGCAGCTCATTTAGGGATGGTAAAAATGAAAGGTATTGCTCGTTCCTTTGTGTATTGGCCAAAAATCGATGCAGATATTGAAGCAGTGGCAAAAGACTGCAACGATTGTGCAAGAGTAGCAAATAAACCTAAGAAGTATACAGATCATCACTGGGAATATCCCAAAGGTCCTTGGGAACGAGTGCATATAGATTATGCTGGCCCTTTCGAGGGTATGATGTTACTAATTATTACAGATGCCTATAGCAAATGGCTGGATGTGAAAATAACTAAATCTATAACAGCTGAGGCAACAATTGCATTAGTCGATGAAGTTTTTGCAAATTACGGTGTTCCAGCGATGGTAGTATCCGATAATGGTACAAATTTCTCATCAGAAGAGTTTAACAAATACTTGACGGCTGTGGGAGTCAGATATCATAAATACACTGCACCTTATCATCCCTCTACTAACGGCCAAGCTGAACGTAGCGTTCAAACAGTAAAAAACGCATTAAAAGCTATGTGTACATCAAAACAAACATTACAACAAAATCTCAACGAGTTTTTAAGGCAGTATAAGAATGCACCTCATTCAACAACTGGAGTATCTCCAGCACAACTTTTTCTAGGCCGTCAAATTCGCACCCGCTTGATTTAGTACATCCAGAAAATGTTTCTTCTAAAATAACAAATAAACAATTTTTGAAACAACATGAGCAATTTAGAGAGTTTCAAGTGGGTGACAATATATATTTTTTATCCGGTAATCAAAAGGAAAGCAAATGGATACCAGGTAAAATAAATAGGCGTTTAGGCGATATTCATTACGAAATTCTTTATGAAAATAAGTATGTACGAAGACATATTGATCAAATTCGTGGTGCTACTCAAGGTGTACAAAAGGATGTGGTAAATGGAAACCTGAGTTATGGAAACAGAAGATCTGAGGAAAACAGGTCTTATAGGAGTATTATATATCCAGAAAATATGAATGATAATGTTTTAGTCCCCAGACATCCCGCTCCTAATCTTCAGCATCCTGAAATAAATTCAATAGTACTCCTAATAATGCAGAGATCCAGTAAAATGAAGATTAATGTTGTCCGCTCTCCTGTTCGAGAAAAGGACACAGATGATGAATTTGAAACACCACAAGCTGGTCAAAATCAAAACCACCCGCAAACACCACATTACAAAACAGCGCAGCGGACGACGAGAAGAAACCAGTGAACAGTAAATATAGAGAATTCACATTTACCAAGTGATCAGCATCTACGACGATCAAAAAGGATTCCAAACCAAGAGTTTTATTTTCACCTGACAATTCCTAAGGAAGAGATAAATTTATGTTTAATACTACTTGTTTAAATTTGATTCTTAAACGTTGTAGTAACTTATGATTTTGTTTACTTTTGAAGTTTATGTTTTAAATTTGAAATTATTCGATTGATAATTTTTCATTGCTGTATATCTAAATTTAAATAAGAAATACGTTATTTTTTAAAACACAATAACCTTATTATTATACCATTGATCTCAGCAGAATCACTACCATACACCCATAATAGAGCGCGATGTCTGTCTGGTGTGGCTTCAGTGAAGCTCTTGTTTTCTCCAAACACTATGGTGGCCGAATATTTACAAGAAACAATTGTTAAGCCGCCTTTTATACAAATTTATAGCTTGTAGAGAATGTAATTCACGGACCTAGAGATATAACCTGGCAGGTATGTAGATGTTGTTTGGGCAAAATATTGGTACTAACCATTGTGGGCTTTAGTCGACTTTAGATCCCTTATAGTGTCACACATATACCCAAATAAGCATTCTTGCTGGAATTAAGTTTAAAACAAGTTTAATTCCATTCATTACACTTTAATTCAATAGCATTCTCCAGTGAAAACGAAACTTGAATTCAAGTCGAACATACAATGTTTTTACAGTATAATTCAATGCACGAATCTATATACATATATAAAATTTAACGTTACTGACTGACTGACTGATTCATCATCGTAGAGCCTAAACGGTTGAAGCTAAAGAGCTGAAATTTGGGCAGGAGGTTGGTCTCCCACCAATGGATCCAATAAGGCGAGATTTTTGGAATTCGAATTTTTTGGGGGTAAAAAAAGGGTAAAAACGTAACTAGAAAAGTTACAAAATAGTTAAAGTTCATTTAAAAAAAAAGCGAACAGGTGTCCGGTAATTTTTCAAATTCGGGGCCCCTTTGGGGAATAAACGGGTAAAAACTGTAATTTGATACTTCTTTTGCACCCCATGTATCTTTAAATCAGAGAACATTCAAAAAATATGTTTGAATCCTTTATAAGTTGACGAACAAATAAAAATATGAATTTTGTACTTTTTGGATATTCGGACGTTTAAGGGGTGAAAATTGTACCTATTTTTGGTACTTTTTTATAAAACATTGTTTTTGGTTTATTAACTTATACACATGAATACATAATAACGGGCTTCCCAATACGATGTTGCAATTTTTTGGAACAGAATTTTTATTTCGTTAATGGGGAGGAAAAAAAGTACCAAAAGGGGTAAAAATGGGAAATTTGATTTTATTCAAGAAACACTTAATATGCTAATGGGGTGTTATTTGGAACACCGGTACTTTTATCGTACTTCGACTGGTACTTTTGAGTTTTCCATAAAATTAAACCTAGAAACAATAATAAATATGTAGAACCCGAAGTAAATTATAATCTATAAAAAGGGACTTTTTAGTACTTTTTCGATCTTCGACTGGTACTTTTTGAATTTTTTATAATTAACCTAGAAACATGAAATTAGGAATGTACAGCCCGGATTAAGTGATAACATATAAAAGGGGACTTTTTGGTACTTTTTCGTTTTTTAAAAAGTATTTTTTGAATTTTCTATAATATTGAACCTATAGACAAGAAATTAAACCTGTAGGGCATGGAGTTAGTACTAAATAATACCATAATAAAACAATTTTGTTGGAACGAAAATATGTAATGTAAATATGTATATGAAATCTTCTTCAGAAAATGACTTAAACGCACATAAATGGCTTTTTAAATGTCGATGTCGACGAAAAAAACATTTTTAGGAACCGAAACCCACATCTATGAAAAATAAAATTATGAGGATCGGTCCGCCAATATAACCAATTACGGTGACGTTCTTATTAATCTAATGATTAAAGTCCATATATATATGTATATGACCACTTCCGAAATTTGCTTTTTTACGACAAATGATTTGCCGAATATAACTCTTACTCCTTACTTATTTTAATCATAAAGAAATTACCGCTAAAATAGGAATAGTCTGCCTTTAGAGTTGCGAGTTTTCATACACTCTAATAATGTTTTCAAAGTGAAACTTTTGGAATATTTTTCAATCTCTTTGTGATCCCTTTAAATGATGTTGTTCTGGAAGAACTTTAACATCCATGTAAAAATTTTGGGTAATAAATTGGGGGACTACCAATGAGGGGAGCGGAACCTCCCATATAAATTAAATACAAAAATTCGTTTATCTGGGAAACTAATAGAACTAAATTCATCAAATTTTGCACGAAGAACTTTAATATTCATCTGAACATTTTGGAGAAAAAAGGGCGGACTTTCATCTGGGGGGCTTGGAGCTCCCATATGAATTAAATAGAAAAATTCGTATATCTGAGAAACTATTAGAGCTAGAATCTTAAAATTTACTGAAGAACATTTAGAGAAATTGCAATAATTTGCGTGGAATCTCCCATATGTAGCAACTTGTATATCTGGAAATACCATTGTAGTTAGAATCATCAAAATCGTTATGTGGGTTTCTTATTTATATTGCTTTTAGGGTGGCACAGCACACTGGGTATAGCTAGTAAATAAACAAATAAAATATCTTTGTTTTTACGTTATTGATAATTTTCTTAATGCAAATTTTTTTTTAGAAACTGATTTTCTGCAAGATGTTTTATATGCAGGATAGAGTTAAAATATCGGCAGATCCTCGTAAAACTTGGAGAAAGGATTTGTTTTTAATTTTTAAGAATTTTTTATTCATCCCTGCATAATTTCTCACACAACTTTTGAGCTTGCTCTGTTTTGTTGTTATAAACATTTGCTTCCAAAATCCCACTTTCTGATCTCTCGGATTCCGTTTTTATTTAAAATCGTTGAAAATTTAAAAACTAAACGTAGTTGAAAACGGCTTACAGTCAATTTTAAGCCGCCGCCGACATATTTAGTGTCAGTCGCCGCCGCCGTTAATATTTGTCGGCGCAGGGCTCTGCCTGTTGGCGAATGTTTTGTAACAGCTGTTGGTAAATTGTCAAATTTGACATTTAGTTGATTGAGTTTGCTGTTTTGTATGAAATTACGTAAAATTTAACACAGGTTAGTGAATTTTAGTTAAATTTTTTGTAATAAATGGAAAAAATAAACAAAAAACTAAAAAAATAATTAAAGCAGTATAAGGAAATGTTGAAAATAAAACATTATTAAAAACTAATTGCTATAAAAAACCAAAGATAATAGTGGCGATAGCAGAGAAAGCAAAGTTTGAAATTTTCGCACAAACCAACATGTCGGAACAAGAATTTTTTTAATATAATTAACTTTTTGTTGCTAAATATGAGTTTAATTTTTGGTTATTTATTCTAGTCAACATGTCTTTAGTAAAGGCCGGCTATTATGATAAGCCCGAAGGGCAAGATTGTTATGGCAAAATGTTGGCCACCAATTCCTATGCTGCTGCCGCCGGCTTAGCCTGGTCTACCATAGATGTATTGATGTTGTCACACACCAAAGGCTATATACCCACAATGGCACGTTTTGCCTACAATATTGGTCCCATGATGGGTATGGCTTCGGCCTTTACTTTGACCACTTATATTGCCACAAATGCCAGAGGCAAGGATGATAGGTAAGTTTAAGGGGTAACATTTTTAGAAAGAAACTATTAATGCCTTTGCGATTATTACAGACTAAACTATTTCTTGGGTGGCATGGCTGCTGGTGGTGTCTATGGTGCCTGGAGACGCAATCATGTTGCTGGTCTTGTTATGGGTTTGGCATTTGGTAAGTAATTCAATTTGAATTTGGCCTCCTAAACACCTTAGCAGATTTGAAGAATTCTAATCTGATTTCAAATCTGATAAGAATGGATGATTATATGAATTTCATTATATTTTTTTTTTATTTCAGGTATTGCTGGTGTTATTAAGAAAATTTCCCGTGAAGAAGGTTGGGAATTCTTCCCCGCTCTTAATCATCACGGTTTCATGGGTGTCAAAGAAAATGACTACACTTTGATGGCCGAACGTCCCAGAAATTGGACAACCGGCAAGGAAAGTTCTTAGAGAGCATTAGCAAATCTGTGTTTTTAGTCATTAGTTGAAAAAAATGTTAAATTTTACAAAACAGCCGTAATGAATTCGTGAAAAACCTACAAAACCGAAAATAAAATAAAACTTCTAAAGAACCAACTCAAAACAAAAATAAAAATAAATTTAAAGAAAATAATATTCTAAAAATTAAAAAAAAAAAAAACAAAATTGGACTCAAACATACAACTTATCAGTATTAGCAAGTGTATTCGATATCTAAAAATGCCTGCTAAAATTACAAATCTTTCAAAGAAAAATGTTCCACAAATCCTCATATACTAACAACTACCGCA